CACTTTTTATGGGTGTGAATATAAACGGGGTTTGGATTAGTGAATCGATTTATTAACCACTTCTACAAGCATCTCGGAACTACAAGTACTTACAGCGCTGTCTCTGAATTCCACGTTAAGTCTTCTCCAGCCTGCAGTGTCATCAACAGTCGTTTCCTGGTAACGGATGTTAACAGTGGAGATTCTTCAGCTTCCTTCAAGATTCCAGTAGAGAACTGACTGCCAGCTACCAAATGAACAATAGCGCCATCTCTTCTCAGCCTCCCTCGCAGAGCTCAACTCAACTGCCAGCCCTCAGTTGACAACTGACAACTGAACTGGTCAAGTAAATTGTCTTCAAGGTAATTCCTCAGCGCAGACCACATTGAAAACATCGGCATTCCAGGCGAAATAGCAAGAAGACTTCACAGTGATTTGAAGTGCTACTTTTGGTGTTGAGATCCGTTGCCAGGAAACGACTAGTGGAAACTGAGAATCCTAGTGCGTGTGCAACGGTGACTGCAAACTGTGTAAATTAACAATAGCGCTGTATTTAAGTGTGATTAAGAGAAATTGTAACCTAGGTGAAAATAAATCCAGTCATCCGAACTAGAACCCGTCATTTTTGTCACGCGTACCTCCCTACACATGACAATACGTAACATCTGAGTTATCGGACAGGCTGAGGCCAAGAATACCATAAGCCTGTAAGCAAGGATAATGAGGCTCATTAACATCATCATTATCATCGTCATTATCATCGTCATCATCAATATCTTCCTCTAGTTCTTCACGTTTCATGTTTTGGTAGTCTAACTTCGGCAACTTACTGATTACTTCTGAGTTTGCATTAAACTTCTGGGCTATAGAATATATAAAGTTTTGTAGCAGCTGTCCTGAACAGACTCTCAGTTAAGTGAAATTATTTCCGAGAGTTTGTGTAGTGTTTCGACAGATTGGGTTTAGGTGGCCTAATGATTTTCTAAATCCTCAGACCACGCACCACAACCATTCTGAAGAAGCTAATAGTCGCATAGCTCTTCAATCATTTATCCACATTCTGTGGAATTAGAAAGCTACACAAATGCACTAGCAGTGAACCTACTAGACAACAGCGAAACTACACACAGACTCAAAAGATACACCACCCTAACTCTACCAGACAGACCTGAGTAAACCCCAATACAAGAATTATAATGATGCCTAAGTGCACAAAAAATATCTAAATTACGCCATTGGGCACAACTCATTCACGAGCCAATACTTATTGAACATACACATTTGTAGCAGAGTCTGCAGATTATGTATAAATAAATGTTTGAAAATAATTCATGATGTGTTTACAAGATCAAGTTGCAGAACCTTATTTTAAACTTATTCGAATCCAGTTTAATCCTCAATATATACTTTCTTTATGCCCTAAGATTAGGGCTTAGGACTCCCAAGTGGTCTCAAAGTCAGAGTCACAGCCAAAGTTACTTTACGACTTGCGGCTTACCGGAAAACATTTCTTCTTTGCACCAAGTCCCTTGAGACCCACGACCAGAGGTTTTTCTTTCAACTGAGCCTTTGCGGTCATAGTCCTTATGTAACATCCTCTCTGACGAGAGGATTGGTTTGTCTCTTATGAATACGCTTGGCCTACCGTCAAGTGTGTGTATCGCACATGCAACATCATACTGAAAATTTTGCAACCTAAGAGGTCTCTTTCCTTGAATTTCTTCGTAAAATTCTGTAGGCTCGATGCATTTCTCAACCTTCTGCATGCTACACCTTTTATCCATCTGTCCCTCCTCCATTAATTTAACTCGTAATAGGCTCAGAAATTTGGCGAAATGTTCAAATTCTATAGCCCTCTCTTCCGGGATATAACATCGTATAGTCCGTCGGAATTCAGCCGACGTTTCAGGGGTCCATATTCCCTGTTTGCTATTTGCCTAATATTGGATTCTTGCTTCACTTGTTCTTCAACTTTGAAAATTGAAATATTTTCCTCCGAAACGTCTGTTTGACTTTGAACGGAGTACACGGTATTATATCCCAAAAGACAGGACTCTACACAACCTGAAACCTTTCATATGAAGTTCCTTATTAGGAATTTCTCTCCATTTAATCCACCTGGCGGGCCTGCTCCTGTAGTTTAAATTTAATTATCATTCCGCTTCTGGAAACACGAGACTGAGTTGTGTTACTCCCTTTTCCTTAGAGCCCAGGGTTCCTGCCCACAGGCCGAAACCAATACATGGGTCTATTCCTAGTGTCACCTGCTGCATACGAAGGATATCTCTATCTGTTTTCATAGTCAGCTTATAGCAGGAACAGTTCAGTCCATATAGCAACAGGCTACGTGCTGAACGGTCGGAGTTCGATTCCTAGCAATAGTTAGAGACTCTCCTAACCTCCAGAGAGTCCACCCGCCTCCCATTCAATGAATAGAGAAGGCAAAGCGCCCAGGCCTTGAAGCTCACCATTCGCGTCCATCAGGTGCCTTGGTTAAGAAAAGTGGCGCTCCCTCACGCGTCTTCATGGCGAGGGGCTTCATGAAGCAAGAACAAGGACGACTTTACCTTGCCTTCGCCTGAAGCCGACACAGCTACAATGTCCTGCAGTGAACGCTAACAAGAATTGGGCTACCGGAGTTTAAGAAAGAATAGGGCTTCTCTACGTCATTCTTAACATGGAGGTAATCTATCTATCTATCTATCTATCTATCTATCTATCTATCTATCTATCTATCTATCTATCTATCTATCTATCTATCTATCTATCTGTCTGTCTCTCTGTCTGTCTGTCTGTCTCTCTGTCTATCCATCCATCCGTCTGTCTGTGTATGACTACAAACCTTTGTTCGACCGTAGACGATTTTTCAATTTATTAATCTTCTTACACGGTCTGTAGGACTCCTTTGACGGGCGATCAGCCTGTCTCAAGGCACACAGGACAACACAAATACGGATTAAACTCACATAAATATCCATGACTCGAGTGGGACTCGAACCCACAATCCCAGTGTTGGAGCGGGCGAAAACAGTAAAGTTATCCCTGTACCAGGCCGTGAAGGTCCATAGGGTTGTGAGACGTTAAGGGTCCCACATTATGTAGACAATCGGCTCAAAGATGGCGGTAAGGTTGTCAGCCTTACGCGCCGGCCGCGCTTTACTCCCCAGGAAAATTATTAATTAATTCCTGGTACTCATTTCTGTTAATTTTAATGTTTAAGAATTCAGTTCATATCTCTCCGGAAACACATAGGATCCCTTGTTTTGCGACATTGTCAGCATGTAGGCCTACACTGCGCAGTGTCCGAGTGTATGGCAAATTGGGAGTGATTTAGAAGCAATCAGTCATGGTCCAACCAAGACAGGTACTCTCCTTGCATTTGTCTGGAAGGAGTGAGGGAGGGAGACGCACAAGAACCTTGTAGGTTTGGAGGTTATCACAGCTGTGCTTATGAAAAATTGTATCTTCTGGGATATAACACTGTGCAGTCAGTTGAAAATAAACTGACTTTTCGAGGGAATATATTGCCTCTGTCTTCACGTCAAAGAATAATTGAAGAAAAAATCTTGAATGACTGCTTGCTGCTCTCATCGCGCTGTTGTCTTCTGGCCTGAGAGCGTAGGCGACACATTCCTCTGAAAATTCAGTTGATTTTCAGTGGACTACACTGCCGAGACTTGAACCGAGCACCTCCTGAAAATGACCCAAGCCTATCCACTACATCACTCTGTTCTGTTGTCACTGGATCTTCTTTACAAATAAGGGCGTACCTTTTCTAATGGTAAATTGTTTAGAACATCTGCATATAGTTATCCGTGTACGTCTTCATGAATGCAGTTCTAATTTACAACCGCAGAAATATTTTAATATTGATATGTTTTCGAAATAAATAGGCCCTCTGATATATGAGATCTACAGGAGGGAATGCTGTATTTTGCCCTACTTTTGTAATGACAACAAACACGTTGTATGCGTGACTGGGTCTATTTCTACCTCAAACTCTTTAATGTATAGCACAATGAGATCTGTGTTTCAGTCAGCCCATTGGTTTCGCTTCAAGATCTTTCCCTATGCAGCTACAGCTCACAATATGGCAACTACATTCGCTGAAATTTTGGTAATTTCAGAGAAATTCAGCTTATATCTGTAATAGATTAGACATAAAATCACACCTCTTGAATATATAACGATAATAATATGTAGGTTTTAAATCTTTGAACTCTGTCGGTTGGTAGGGTAAATTGCTGCTGGGCCTCGCCAGCACAATCAGTCTTGGTTCCGGGTACTACAGGACTTAGGATCATATTTCATTGCCTCACGAATTTAAGAGTTGTGATATTTCTTCTAAATATACTATGTAAGAATTAAGTTCGTACCTCGCAGGAAACACATTACTTCTCCGCTATAAAGACCAACCGGTTAATGTTGTTAGGGGAACAAACACATGTACACTCTGTTTCCTTATGTTACAGCAGGTGGTACATATATAAACCACTGGACTTTAAAGTTTTCAGTTCTTTGTAATCTATAGACAAGGCTTCTGTTTTAAGTATCATTAAAATAGGCAAAAAATACTGATGAAATACTGTAAAAATGACAGTTACCGTTACGTGTGTAGACACTATAGATGAGGCATAAATATGGCCTTTGTAGACATCATACCCTAAAGCACTCCACGTCTCGTAACCCTGCATGTGATGTTTCCACCTTACATACCCAAAGCCGTTTCTGTTACACAGTCTCATATATAAATATTCTTTGAGCGTACCCGACCCGCCTTAGTAGCCAGAAAGTCTATTAAAGGCTGTGTCACTAGCCTCCTTCTTTGTGGGCGGAGAATATTAGAACTATATCATCCAATCGAAATGAATCGCTGTAACCAATGAGATGTGTAAACGTCACGGATTTGAGGAGGAACTATTTTCATGTCGACAAAGGCTCCGCCTACATTGGACGGTGGTGCTACCTACACGGAGGGAACGAGAAGCGAAGTTGCGCTAGTAGTGCGATCTAGGCAGCCGTGGTAGAGGGAAGTTGTTGTCATGGTATAGTGTGTTGCAGTAGCTGAGCGAGTGAACACGGCTATTACTCGTAGGCAACCACCACTGCCAATTTTACATTATTATCTACTATAATCTTCAGGTGTGTTCGCAACACGGCAGTGTTCGTATTGTGTTTGACTTGCATTTTTTTATTCCGATTGTCGTGAAAAAAAACAAGTGACATTAAGTATGAAAATTAAACGGAAATATACTCAACAAATAAAGGTTATATTAAATTTACGATAGATGGAACAACATATAGGCCTAATGAAGATTTTGGCGTTCATGTATATTGTTTTAATTCCAGAATATCATAATCGGATAAATTATTTTCAAACAATTACAGTACACGTGTATGATAATCGCCATAATTTGGAGTAATTACATGTACTGAGTGTGAATGTATATTTCGTCCGTCTCTCTCTCATCAGAAGCGTAAACAGTGCGAGTTTCATAATCCCCTCCCCTCTCTTCAGTGTAATTGAACCAATCGCATCATCAGTAATTGGCTGTCGTTTATATTCCGAATTAATGAGACCTATTATTGTGGTTTTGTGAAGTTGTTTTTATTATCGTTGTTAAATACAGCTGTGTGGATTATTTATTTATATTTTTTTAATCGTAATTAAGTGAATTCTTTAATGGAGACATCTAAATTACATGGACGTCAGTGAAACTGATTGTTTGCAAATGTGACTTGGATTAATTCGGATTATGAAGTGAAGACAACTAAATATAGCATTTTGTTACATTAACGTTTGGAATATTAAGGCGAAGAATATATTCCTTCCAACTTGTTTTTTAAGTTGTGTTGAAAGAAGAATATTTTATGTCAGTGCAGTAAAATACATACTCGACGTACACAAAGTGACAACGGCTTTTTGGATTTGTTTAGATACTTAAATATTTTAAAGAGATATTAAGATGGTGTTTCCAGCTGTCACGTAATTTATGTGTGCAGCGTAGTCGGACCCAACGACTGCCGTGAGGTGCTGTGTGACAGTCCACTGAAAGTTTTACCCAGTGTTTATTTACAAGAAACTTGTGTGCCTCCCCACGATGAGGTAGCAGCGTTCACAGCAAGGGGCATTGTTCACACTGGACATTGTAGCCCGGTTTATTTTCCTAACTCTGCCTTTGTGCCCTCGGATCTCACACTAGTCGCAACGGCAGGGTTCGGCTTCAACCCCCACCACCCCCATCACCATCATCCCTTTTCATCTCCATCTTCCACCCCAGCAACCCCTACTTCGCCAGGTGGTTGCTGGAAGTCGGCGCTAACAATCATCCCCACTGTGACGGCTGCAACCGGCACAACGCTGAATTTTACGGACCTCGGCAGCCCCTTCGGATCGGGGGGTGGCGCCGGTGGGGGTGGAGGAAGCGGCGGAGGAGGCGGTTCAGGGAACGCCGGAAGTGGAGGCGGTGGTGGATCAAACACACCGACGCCAACAGGAAGCATGGCGGCCGCGGACGCTCTCGACAACACCGGGCATCACCACAATCACCATCATCATCTGACGAGTGGCGGCGGGTTGCCACCGACGTCGCACCAGGACACGACGACGTCTTCGAACAGTACGACAGCCACGAACACCGGAGGAAGCGTCGCTGGTGTAAACAAATCCGCGTTTATCGAACTGCAGCAGCATGCGGGGGTGACGTACAACCCCATCAGGGCGGCGGCAGCGGCGGCGTACAGCCAGCATCACCACCCCGCGGCGCACCACTTCAATCAGGGAGGGCCCCAACCCGGAGGAGGACCTCCAAGCCATCACCATTCTGCCGTGGACCCAGCGGGGTTCGGCAGCCCGCGTACCGCACTAGGGGCCTACCCCTTCCCGCCGATGCATCAGAACACCTACACGGGGTACCACCTGGGATCTTACGCGCCGCAGTGCCCCTCTCCGCCCAAAGACGGTAAGAACCTCCATTCAGTGTACTGTAGTGTGGGTCGGTTATGGGAACAAATGTCACAGCCCGCTGTGTCACTGGTCTGTATGAAATCGCTTTACGAAATGGGATTCTCTAGGTTTGTTTATTTTCCTGCCGCCAGATATACTATTGTGATTACAATAATTAGTTTCACACGAAATTCATAATTTGGAGTTCAGATGTTAAAACAGTGTATCATCAACTTTGTTTAGGGCCTCTAAGTGATTCTCATCTCCTGTGGGAAGTTCAAACTGTGCGACAGAAAATGTTAGGTAATTCAGGATGTAATCCTCGTAGGTAGGTTATATTTTCATCAGTTGTCTGAGCTCAAAATATCCATGGAAATCACGTTCTTAAATCGTTTATTTCATTTTACTTTTGCAACCTCGACATTGCTGCAGATCTGTTCTGCGCTGAAAAATATCAAGTGCCCCATCCGTAACGATTTTTCTGGCCACCCGGTAGGAATTTCCTGCCATCAACAACAAAAGTTCAATACACGTCTTTTTCGTAAGACAGTGTCTCCTCATTTCGATATGGACCTAACGCTATTGGAAGAATAATACGAAATTTGCGTTCACGATGATAAATTGTAATCCTAATTCGGCTTTTGTGTAAGATGTGACGAACTCGAATAACAATGCAGTGTCTGCGCGATCGAGCCAGATGTTGTGAGGAGACCCTGATAATGATTACCAAATTAACTTCGTTCCTGTGCGTTTAGCCTAATTCTGTTTGCAACGTAGGCCTTGTGTCTACAATAACATCATTATCATCACCCTTTCCTATATTAGGTCTACTGGGATCTATCACGGTGATTAGAAAACAGAAACCTGCCCCAATTTTTTCTTTCTTTTTGTTGATATTTTAAAGTTCCTTCTCTCTTAGTGCGCATGTCAGAGCTTATTCTGAAGACGCGTTTGTTTTAGTCACTTCTGTATACCATTAATTAAGTTGTGTGATGAATTTGTTGTTAACTCATAAGGCTTTCATATCTTTTAAGGCCCAAAAGGGTGCAAGGCCTATGGCGCAGTCCTCATAAAATGCTTTTCTCTTGATATGAATTTTACCTTCTGAATTCTTCTTGTCCGTAAGCCAATGCCATTAGATTTTGTTCTGCCTATGAGATTAGCAACTTTATTAACATCAAAGGAAACTCGAATTTGTATGAAATTAATAATAGGCCTAACTAGTTCTGAAAAATTGTTTGTCACTTCCTCGTCACACACCGTACATAGGCCTATATACCGAATCTTTATCCAAACGCGATGCATTAGCAATGCAAGACATGAAGACAGAACTAGTGGGTTTTGGGGCTTTACATATCGTCCGGTATTCTAGAAAACTGAAAACATCACGTTTCGGCAACTTGACCTGTTTCCGTCCTCAGGTGACGGAGGGAGGACACCTGCTCAGTCTCGCCCCTTAGAAAGAGCTAATTTCAATCACTGGATAAGCCCTGTCAGATTAACACAGTTATTTAATCACCCGAGACTAGGTTAATTCGGCGGGAGATAACAAGAGAATATACAATAAAAATTGTGATAGAGCACGCACATGCGTGGACCTAGGATAGAAAAGGAGGTAGAAATTTGTATTAGAAACCTAGCTGACAGAACCAAGTTCATGAGCCGAATTAGCTCGGTCTGAAGTGAATACATAGCTGTGTAAATCTGACAGGGATTGTCCAGCGACTGAGATCAACTCTTTCTAAGGGGCCCAACTTAGTAGGTGTCTTTCCTCCTTCGCCTGAGGACGGAAACAGACCCAGTTTCCGAAACGTAGTGTTTCCTATTTTCTAGAATAAGGGGCGATGGAAAAATTCCAAAATACACAGTAATTCTACGTATTATACACTATCGTCAGAACGGTCTAGAGACTAAGACATGCCATCAGATGGTCAAGACAACCCAAATCGTCAGTTCTGAAAGCTGCAGGTTATTCCGAGACATGAAGTTGGCTACAACTAAAACATTTGCTGGTGGCGAAATAGGCTTTATCATGATTTATAAGTCATTCTAAATAAGTAACTGTAAGACACTCGACTAGCAATGCTTATATTACTTTAAAATTATCCTTAATTTGAACTCACATAGAGGACTTCCTTTGTTGAATATCACAGCTGTACAGGACATAAAACGGCACATTCCGGTACAAGATTTCAGGCTTATGAAGAATCTCAAATGCCGAGTAGCTCAGGATAAACCTGTGGAACAAATACAAAATATTCATAAGAAGCCCAGTGAATTTATCTTACATATTGTCATGTTCAGGAAGGATTTTGTTAGAAGGAATAAGTCCGTTATAGAATACGAGCCGTTCAGGACACGAAACGAATGGGTTTTGTCGCAAAATGCGAAATGTTCAAGGTATGAAACAGAGGAGGTTGTCGCAAAATGCGAAATGTTCAAGGTATGAAACAGAGGAGGAGGTCGCAAAATGCGAAATGTTCAAGATACGGAACAGAGGGGGTTGTCGCAAAATGCGAAATGTTCAAGGTATGAAACAGAGGAGGTTGTCGCAAAATGCGAAATGTTCAAGGTATGAAACAGAGGAGGAGGTCGCAAAATGCGAAATGTTCAAGATACGGAACAGAGGGGGTTGTCGCAAAATGCGAAATGTTCAAGGTATGAAACAGAGGAGGTTCTCGCAAAATGCGAACAAAGCAGGAAACGAATCAGTTTGTCACAAATTTGGGACTGTTTCAGCAAGGTCCATGTTTGCCGCTAATTATTCTAAACGCATTGCTTCGAGTCCATATAAATCTTCAACCAGTTTCCGATAGTAAAATTGTTTCTTTTTCAATAATTTTGGCAGCTGGGTTCAAATATTTGCAACAGTTATTCGGCAATTCGCTGTTTTGAAAACAGTGCAGGACGTAAAATATTTGTGGAATAGACGAGAAATGTTTCAGATCGCTAAATTGCAGGCGATTAAAATTAATCTTAGATGGATAGGATGGGATGGTATGATTTGGATTGATCTGGCTCAGGATAGGGACCAGTGGAGGATTCTTGTGAATACGGTAATGAACATTCAGGGTACATAAAATGCTGGGAAATTCTTGAGTAGCTGCAGAATTGGCGGCTCCTCAAGAAGGTCTGGGCTCCTTGATGATGATAATAATAATAGCAGATGACTTTAGGAGACGTCACAGAACAAAGTATGAAACGGCCTGGAAATTACCAGCACACCTGACGGTATGAAGCGATCAGTTAAAAGTTATATATAGGATACAGATGGCACAAGGAGATGTGATCTCCGATTTCCATAGAATATATTCCCCATTGAAAAAGGAAAACATATAGATAGATCTTCGAAAGCCATAGAAGCAGACACAAAGAAAAATCTAACTTCTGAATCTTGGGTGAGCATTCATAGCTCCAACCCTTTGGATAACAGAAAAGAAAAGAAAAATTCCTAATGCTATTATTGAGTTTAAACATACTGAATGTTGCTGAGCGAAATATTGTCGTTGTTAAACAAAAACACGGTTAATTATAACCTAATAATAACCAATGAAATCTTAATTTTTTTATTCATGTAACAGGCCGAAAGGCCCATAGAGTTGTGAGAAGTCGAGGTTCCCACATTTTCTAGACAATCGGCTCACAGATGGCGGTAAGGTTGTCAGTCTTAAGTTCCGGCTCCCTTCACCCCCCCTGGAGCTCCCTGGCACTCATTTCTGTTACAGGCTGAGTCGATCCCAGGGCCATAATGTAGCTGGAAGGATTAGGAAACTGAAAAAAAAATCCACCTCATTGGGAATAGAACCCGTAACCTTTCGGCTTGTATCGTAGTGCCTCAACTAACTACGCTACCGCGTGCCCGGAAATCTGAGTTAGCGCTGGAAAATTAATAGTGATGTTATCTAAATGTTAATTAATTTCTATCATACTACGATTGTGTATGGATGGATCACCTGCAAACGAATTGTTAATACATTAAAAAATTTCCATTTCTATATTTTCTGATTTAAATGTTTTGTATCCTGTTCCAGAGGAGTGATAAAGTGGAACCCTATAGGGTTGCATTATATCGTGTCGTTAATGTGGGTTACAATATGATTTCAAGTTTAGGCAGATTGTTTTCGTCAAAATTTCCTCAGTAATAATATGAAAAGAGCATAGCTATGTCCAGGGCCGTATTTTAGATTTAACTGCACATCAGACTGTTGATGTAGCGGTAAACAGGCTACAGTTCTTCCTCAAATATAAGTAGTTTAAGTTCATGAAATGTAGAATTAAACCACTGACTCCGCAATTGAATGCAGGCAATGTATCCACTCTTCTTATGGGAAGCATTACAGCTCAATATTTTAAATAATTTTCCTTCATATTTTGACACCCTTGCAGGACTTTATCCATTAATGCATAGAAATAAACCGAATACAATTATGTAAGTTTAGAGGTTTTGACGGCGGTGACTGTGAAGAATGCCGCCTTCCAGGACGTGGCGCCGCATAGATTTTGTGTGAATCGACGTTTCGGAGGAAAGTATCGCCTCTATCTTCAGGGTAGAAAAATCTGCAGCCACCTGCTCAAGCTGGTTCCTCGCTCGCGACTTTTTCTACCTTGAAGATAGAGACGATACGTTCGTCCTAAACGTCGATTCACGCAGGATTTACACGACGCTATATCCCAGAACACGGTATTCTTCGAAGACAATATTATAAACATAAGCTTGTGTAGGTAAACGCCAAAAACGAGGAGGAAATAGGTTAAAGCCTAACAGGGCTCTTACCCACTTGTTCGTATCTCAGGTGGAAGCGTTTTCAGGAGACTGTAACTGCAGTTCAAGAATACAGAGATCAATCGCGCAATCTTCAGGCCCCTGTAGACCTGTATTTCAACACTTCGGCTTCTTGCGTCTTTATGTTCTTGATATATCTTTATTTAGGCCCTCGGTCTGATAAATAATTCAGGAAAAGATGGGCTACTCTTTTCACATAAAATTACTTGGCTTTTGTCCGCAAGCGAACTACA